AGTGCCACTAGGAGAGGACTGAGTGTTCAAGCACGTCAGACATTTCATAGTCAAAGCACAAAAGGGACTCGTTCTCCTGGCACAGTCTGCTTCGGCATATCAGCCAGTTGCCATGCTTCCCAAGCACAGGAACCAGCACCTTGCTACAGTTGTTAACGTGAGGCTTACACTAGTTCCCACGATATAGGCCTTAGTGTTTAGCCTTAGCTGCACAACCACAGCACACAGCACTGAATGCTGGACTTACTTATCCTGCCATCTCTCATCCATTGTATGACTAGATTTCAGCTGCCCAATTTCCCAGGCCCTTGGAACTATACTTCCTACATTCTTCCTTGCATATGTAAAAGCATCTACCACCTGTGATTAAATAATTGAATTTGAATTTGCCTAGATTTTAAGTTGTAGGCCAATATTTTTCCCTGAGGATTGGTTAGCTATTGTTCCACTGCCTTCTATCACAGGGGGAAATGTAACTAAGTCTAATATGGGAATAAAGTTTTTTCCAAAGGTCATGAGGTTTTGCCTAGATGCCTACAGGTCTGATTTTTTTCTATCTTTAAATTCCATTAGCATCAAATGTATTCAGAGCTGAGCAGAGTACTGACTTCTCCTGAATAGCGTGCTCTTTCAATCTCTAAATCCAACTTTGATTTTACTTAAGTAAAATGCCCTCGAGTTATGATTCTGAAAGCCTTTTACATTCCGTCTGCTGTGTTCTTCCCAGAGACACTGCATTATCCGTGTTCTGAACTTTCATTGGGATCCCATTCTTGTCATTCTCTCTTTTTTATAATTTACTTTCTTCCATTTCATTTTCAATTTTGTTCTTTGTGCACCTTAAAGCATTTAGAGCTGTCTTTTATTTTCTTTCTTGCTTTCTAGAAATGTAATATCCATTTCTGTGCTTCTTCTAAGCTCTACCAATGGCACGGCCTGTCTTCTCCTTCTCTCCCTCCTCCACCTTTCCTACCTCCTCCTCCCCCTTCCTCCTTCCTCTTCCCCGTTCCTCCTCCTCCTTCCTCCCTCCTCCTCCCTTCTCCTCCCCCTCCTTTCCTCTTCCTCCTCTCTAATTCAGTTTCTTTATTAGCTTTAATTCAAAATTATTACAGAGTGTAGAGTTCTGGTCTTGTAAAAGCTGCTAACTTATTATAGACTGTTAAAAAATAGAAGTTAGTCAGTCATCCTTAAAGTACTGATATAATTAGTTACAGGAATAAGCCTTATTTAATTCCCTGTATATGTTTCCAAAGTCAAACTTAAAACTAATAATGAGAAACAAAGTTTGTCTAATCAGACATACCTAGGTAGCCTTCATACTTCAGAGATCTGCAAAATATGGCAATTTAAAATAATGATTTAAAAGCTTATTATATTAGACAGAGACTCTTGAGAACCTAACAGTAACCAAGGTCTCCGAAAAAGATTATGAGACACCATGATGTCTCTACCTGGATTGTGATGATGCTGACCACTGGGCGAGATGCCCCAGTGCAACACCTGCTGCCAGGACCCGGTCCAGACTGTGGACATCAGCAGGACCTTGGAGAATTGATTCTACCACTTTTGCCTAGACAAAATAAGGTTAGTCTTTTCCATGTCGCTCTTCCACAAAAAAAGAAAAAAATTACCTTATGGGCCTGGCTTAGACAGTAAGACTGCTGTTCTGGATATTTCTGCCTCCAATGCTATGGAGACCTGGGTATGACTCACTGTATGTATATGGACTCTGGTCCCTGTCATTTTTAATAGATTCAAAAACTATTTGGTCTGTACTCAGATATACTTTATTTATTCTTCAGAGATCTCTAAAAGATTAATGGCTAGGGCAGTTATAATGTCAGTTTAATAGCAAAAGGTATCCAGATTCTTCCACAAAGCTACAGCCAACTTGTTAGCTAGGACTCAATGGTATGAGTCTATTCCTTCTGTTTACAGACACCTGTTATCTGCTCTTTGTCTAAAGTTTAGCTTCTGTTCCTAGTTTAAACTTATCTCAGTTAGATTCCACTTGGCTGGCAGACGCATCTAAGCATCAGTTGCTGACTACAACCTGCTCTGAATGGTGGCGAGCCCTGGACTTCCTGAAAGCTGATGTGGACCAGTCCAGCTGATATGAATGCTCCCTGTCCCTGCAATGGAATTTGATGAATGCCCCACTGCCTAAATTTCCACCCTACCTTTGGCTAGACTTTCAACCTGCTTGGGCCCAGACAAAAACGCCCCAATGTTAGCTTCAAGTAGTTGTGGAAAGAAACACGTCGTCCCATGCTCCCTGCCCAAAATAAGTTGAAAGGCTGTGACAAGGGGGAACTCCCTGGCATGGGGGACAAGATAACTACCTATAGTGCCTGTAGATATACTAGAAAAATGGGCCCAGAGTTGTCAATTAATGGATCTATTAATTTAAGTAGTTCCATACCTCCTTAAAACCAGGGGCAAGCAAGACCCAAGATTGGGTCCTGTCATCGGTGCTTGTGAAGGGTAAATGTAGGAGCCAGCCCTGATAAGCTAAATATGAACAGATGAATCAAAGCAGGCTTTTTACTTCCAACCATTATCACCTGCTAGAGTAGGACTCAGCCGTGGTTAGGTTAGTGGAGGTCCGAGTCTCAGTAGTTTACCCTGAAGCAATACCTGGTTGCAGGAAGAACCACAAACTGAGATTATCTGAGCACCACCCAGGAACAGACCATCCAAAGGAAATGCCTAAAGTTCCAACCACTGTAGATAAGATCGCCTGCCAGTGCACACTCACCAGGACACCCCTAGACAAATGTCAGCCAATCAGGGGTCCTAAACCTCAGAAACCCCTCACCCCCACCTTTACTACTATAAAAACCCAACTCTAACTGAGCTCAAAGCTCTCTGTTTATTTTAATACAATGGACATGCAGAAAGACTGAGTTTGCAAACTTGCATAAAATAAAGGCTCTTTGCTTACATACGGGACTTGGTCTCCTCGTTGGCTTTTGGGGGACTTTGTGGATTTGGGCATAGCAGTTTATGTGTACCTGTGTGTGCCTGCATGTGGAGTATAGGATACCATCAAGTGTTGTTTCTACTTTTTTTTTTTTTTTCTGACACAGGATTTCTCACTGGTCCAGGCTAAGCAGGCTGGCTGGTCAGTGGACCCTGGGATCCCCGTCTGCCTCCCGGTGCTGACATTACAAGTGCGCACGCAGCCCTGGCTGTTCTGTGGTGCACGCGCAGCCCTGGCTGTTCTGTGTGAGTCCTGCAGATCGAACTCCAGCTTTCGTTCTTTCGAGAGAACTTTCCTGAGCAAGCATTTTCCCCTTCCTCAGTTTTAATGTTTTAGAGCAATGACTACAGAACTCTAAGCTCCATTTGGGAGCTTAAAAGCCCAGAATTTAGTCATTTCTTCCTGAGTTTGAAATAATTTCTCCCTGAGACTTTTTGACAGGGGATCTGTGTTAGGTAGGGCTGGAGAGGGGACTTCATCAAACACCTTAAATAAAGCTTTCCCCTTTTGTTTTGCCACTTGTTTAGCTAGCTTTTTTTTTTAAATAAGGAGTTAGTCTGTTTCAAGTGCATTTATATAGCTTTTCAGGCAGAATTTCACTCACTGTCCCTCTTTGTTGCCCTTTAAATAAGTTTTATGCTTAATTCATACATATTTATATTTCTATATGATCGTTCAGAACTAAAATGTCAGGTTTCACATATCATGTCCCTACACATTCTAAACAATCTATGCAAAGTTTACAATGCTCATTACAATTCCTAACCCCAGATTTTCATCCTTTGAGGAAAACAACCTTAAAGCAAAAAGACAACACCTTCTCTAAGTTCGGTATAGTAAAATACTTCTCTCTGAGATATTAAAATCGCTCTTACATGCTAGACAATTCTTAATCTTTGACGTGAGTTCTCAGCAAAGATATTAAGTTGCTGCTGGGAGTTCAGACATTTAACTTTGAAGAGTTGCTTAGATAGATGATAACCATTATTTTCAATGTATTTTTATTGTGTTTTGCTTTTTGATTGATTTCTCCCAAACTGTCCAAAGGGCTGCACCAAACCCAAACGCTGGCCACAAATCACAAAAGTGTGCCAGGCCAGAGCCTCCATATTTCTCCATTTTGGAGCACAGAGTCTCCGAAGTGAGTCGAGGCACTTTCTTTTTTTTCTTTTTTTTTTTTTTTTAGAGATTTATCTTTATTTTTTTTTAAATTTAAATTTATTTATTTATTAAGGATTTCTGCCTCGTCCCCGCAACCGCTTCCCATTCCCCCCCCCCCCCCCCCAGCAGTAAAAAACAAGGACTTCTTGAATTTGGCACTTTCTTCTCTGCGTGGGCTGCTCTGGGTTGGTTTGTACCTACAGCCCAGCTAAGCTGGTTCAAACCAGTCTGCCTAGAAGCGGAGGGGACTTGCTCTGCTCCTTGGCTTGTTCCCTGCACCCTCTGAGGGGCGTGTCTGCTCCTTGGCTTGTTCCCTGCACCCTCTGAGGGGCGTGTCTGCTCCTTGGCTAGTTCCCTGCACCCTCTGAGGGGCGTGTCTGCTCCTTGGCTAGTTCCCTGCACCCTCTGAGGGGCGTGTCTGCTCCTTGGCTTGTTCCCTGCACCCTCTGAGGGGCGTGTCTGCTCCTTGGCTTGTTCCCTGCACCCTCTGAGGGGAGTGGCATTGCCCTTACTGCAGTCTGTGCGCACAGACAGGAGAGGGGTCTGCCCTGCGCTGGGTAAATAAGACGGGGGCGTGTCAGGGTTGCGGGGTCTGGGCTTGGCCTTTCCTGCTAATTTAGCTGTGTGATGCTGGGCAATCATTGCACACCTGAGTGCCGTCTTCTATTAGATACACAGAGTTAACGGGGCTCCAAGGTCCGCGTCCACTTTAAAGGGAAACACATCTGAAGGAAAGAGCCTTATTTATGAAAACGGTCCCTCTTGGGGTGAAGATGCGAAGGCAGCCGCTCTGCTCACAGTTTAATTTCTTATAAACTTATCTTCCTTCCGCCCATGGACCGCAGAGGTTACTTACTGGCGATTCAATGTCTTCTAGAAGTAAAACCGAACAGCGTTCACATTTCAACAGGGTTTGGGCCCGGTGCATTATTTTCTTGACGATCTTCTCCAGGTCAGTCTGTTCTTCGAAGAGGTCGTTGACTACCTCTAGCAAAGCCTGAAGACAAGAGAGGCCCGTATTTAGGAGGTGTAAGGCTGAAAAGCATCCAATCGTGCCACAAGGACATGTGCTCAACTATGTTCATAGCAGCTTTGTTTGTCATAGCCAGAACCTGGAAACAACCTATATGCCCCTCAACCAAAGAATGGATAAGGAAAATGTGGTACGTTTACACAATGGAGTCCTACACAGCAGGGAAAATAATGACATCTTGAATTTGCAGGAAAATGGATGGAGCTAGAAAACATTATTTTGAGTGAGGTAACCCAGACACAGAAAGACAATTATCACATGGACTCACTCATAGGTGGTTTTTAAACATAAAGCAAAGAAACCCAGTCTACAAACCACAATCCCAGAGAACTTAACAATGCGGACTCTAAGAGAGACTTACATAGATCTGATCTACATGGGAAGTAGAAAAAGACAAGGTCTCCTTAGTAAATTGGGAGCATGGGGACCTTGGGGGAGAGTTGAAGTAGGGAGGGGAGAGGCAGGGAGGGGAGCAGAGAAACATGTAGAGTTCAACAACAGCAACAAAAAAGACTGAAAAGCATCGACTTTGCCTTCCCACAAAACTCCAGGTAGTATTTTCTCTGAGAACAGATATTTCATGCGGCTACTTTTGAAAACATTTCTGGCTGTTCTTGCATAACTCAGTGATTCACTTTATAACGTACTCTCTTAAATTGAAAAATAGAGCCGGAGAATGGAGGTGATCAGTGTTACAGGCCCCATGTAGCCACTAATGCAGGTGCTTTATCCACCATAGCGGTCCTTCAATATGACTGAATACAAAAATCGACATTTTATAAACAACAAGTATGTGGACCTTGCCAGAGCAGATTTGTTTCAGAAAACTGCCAAACAGCCTTTTTTCACTGCTAAGAAAAAAAAAAAATAGCTTCATGGCTCAACTTGATACCTATTCTCACTAACCCATATCTCTCCCAGAATTCTGAAAGAATAATGGAGGTAAATGTTAATTAAGGCTCCAAGCATTCAAATATATATTCTCACACTACTCTCTCCATTCCAGAGGAGGAAATAGTGCCTCACTCCCAACAGCTCAGTTGAACATTGAGATATTACTTCATATCTCAGCAAAGGAACCCTTATTAAAATTGCTATCAAGATGGCAGACCAAAAGGTAAGTAAGTTAAAGGAGAAAATTTAAACTACATATTGAACACTGTGTACTCATTGCAAAATTAAGTTGTAGTGATCTACTACTTTCTCTAGCCAAGGGAGCTTGGAATTTATGCATCAAAGTAATATTTGTTTGGAATTTTAATGACGATTTTTTTTTTGGTTCGGAATTTGCAGAATAACAGGCTATTTAGAGGTGGCAGAAATTAAGCTTCTTTTAGAGCCATCAGGGAATTACATGGCCACGAAACTGGCTTGTGCTTTAATAAATAACGTTAAACAGGATGTTTGTCTGTCTGTCTGACCTTTCACAAAGGGACTCCATGAATCCACAGGTTCAAATTTATTCATCGGGGTGTTGATTGCCAGCCCAGGGGCACGACTAATTTTGAAACTTGGGAATTAATATTATTTGTCCTGAAATAATTTGAAACAAAATGTCTTCTCTGTCTCTCTTGAGGTTAAAACACACACAGACACACACACACACAGACACACACACAGACACACACACACACACAGACACACACACAGACACACACACACAGACACACACACACAGACACACAGACACACACACAGACACACACACAGACACACACACACAGACACACACACACACAGACACACACACACAGACACACACACACAGACACACACACAGACACACACACACAGACACACACACAGACACACAGACACACACACACAGACACACACACACAGACACACACACAGACACACACACAGACACACACACAGACACACACACACAGACACACACACACAGACACACACACAGACACACACAGGCACACACACACACAGACACACACACAGACACACACACACAGACACACACAGACAGACACACACAGACACACACACAGACACACACACAGACACACACACAGACACACACACACAGACACACACACACAGACACACACACAGACACACACACAGACACACACACAGACACACACACACAGACACACACACACAGACACACACACAGACACACACACACAGACACACACACACACAGACACACACAGACACACACACAGACACACACACACAGACACACACACACAGACACACACACAGACACACACAGACACACACACAGACACACACACACAGACACACACACAGACACACACACACAGACACACACACACAGACACACACACAGACACACACAGACACACACACAGACACACACACACAGACACACACACACAGACACACACACAGACACACACACAGACACACACACAGACACACACACACAGACACACACACACAGACACACACACAGACACACACACACAATTGAATGAGCTAAGTGATCTGCGAAGTGGCACCACTGAAAGGACCGAGGTTCCTGGGGGAGTGTTCTGAAGAAAGACCCTGCCTTGCCTGTGAATAAGACCAAAGCAAAGAGAAACACTAAGAAGCAAATCCTACGCTAACTGAAGCCAGTCTCCTTGGCATTAGACAGCAAATCTGCTGTGAGAGGTTACGGTGGGGTAATTTCATGTTCAAAGACATTTAATGGGGGACAATTCTTACCCAGGGAAGGACACACAATTGGTTATCTAATCCCAAATAGCCCTGAAAACAGACATACAAGTAACATTATGCAGACCGAGCAGGCTGTGTTTATGTATTTAGGAATGCGTTTGTGTGTGTGGTATGTATGTATGTATGTATGTATAAACATATATGCATGCTACTACAAGTAGTGAAAAATAGAGGCCATGAATTTGAAAGAGAGCAAACAGGGGTGTATGGGAGAGTTAGGAGGGAGGAAATAGGAGGGGAAGATGATCTAATTACAATCTCAAAAAATAAGAGAAATAATTTCTTCAACGAGAGACAATTGTCTGAGAAATCACAAGCGAGTCCCCTGCTATTAAGGGGGAAACATCATTGCCTTGATCACTCAGCTCATCTTTTCCGATGGATGATATTAACTGAACAATTATTTAACTTTTCAATTTGTTATGATTGCACGGAGAGCCTCTGGGACCTCTGCGCACGAACATTTCTCTCAGAGGAGGAACCAATGCCCCTGGAGTCTTACACTGATAAATCGCATGACCGTAATTTTATTCCTTCTAATTAAAAATGGCTGCTTTGCTAACGAATGGTAAAAGTTTTACAAATCGCCAAAGGCTAGCTCCAGAAGAGGCGGAAGAGAGAGGAAGCCTAGGTTGACCAAACAGCTGGACCGGCTGTCTAAACAGTTCCCAGGTGGGATGTGCCCTGCCTCCTAACTGTCTCTTCTGTATAGGAAATAGCTGGGAACTCCTCCTTCCTGTTGGTCTACACCTGAGCTGACTCTTGGCTCTTCCTCTCTCCTGGCCACACATCCTTCCTCTCTCGATTCCTTAGCAAGTCTCCTGACTTTGTATAATCCCATCCCTAATATCATACTTCCTCAAATTTAGGTCCTTAATTCAAGTATTTGCTGCCCATGAGCTTGTATATAAGCCCCAAGTCCCTTTCTCCGTCCCCCACATCAGCAAGCCCTGCACCCGTCACCACTGATTTGCAGGGAGTCTCACTTCTGACTGACCTAATGCCAGCTACCTTTTCTCTTCAGTAGAGTCTTCTAACTGCTCTCCCTCCTTCAAATCCCTTCTCATTAGTCCATTCTTCTCAGCCCTTCACTGTTTTCAAGGAAGCCAAGTTGTTTTTCTTTTTTAAATGAATTGGAATCAGCTCAAAATCTCCTACTGGCTTTCCACCACACTTAAAGTCAACAGTGCCTGAAATGCCCATAGGGTCTTTCTACCCCCGGGCCCTGTTCACCTCCTTATCCTCATTTGCTTGCTGTTCATCCCCTCCTTCTCTCTCTCTCTATTCTCCCGATTCACAACACAGGACCACTGCACCTGATGTGTCCGTGGTCTGTGCACTCTGCCCAGGTCTTCACGTGGTCTCTCGTTTCATTCCACTTCGGCTGTCTCCTTACAGACACCTTTCCTCATCCTCAAATATAAACGGACTGTTCAATCTACCCCATCCACAGCAAGGTCTAGCCCTTTCTTCCACTTTATGTTTCTATCTGGCACTGTGTAGTTTTTGTCTTTATTTTTTCTATTATCTATTGTTCCCACTAGAATAATAAGTTATGCCAGGACATAACAGGACAGGGTCTCTTGAGAACCACACAATACACAGTCGTTGAAGGAGTAAGTGAACTGTGCCATACACAGGCGTGGAAAGACTGTCTCAGTCTGACAGGAAGGTTCCCTTAAGAAATTCATAGTGCAGCTGTAGAGGAGGGTTATCATCAAATATTATAATAATGTGATGGGTACCCACACTAGAGCAAGGAGGGTTATCATCAAATATTATAATAATGTGATGGGTACCCACACTAGAGCAAGGAAAACATGCAAGTCAAGAAAAGAAGATGAGCTGGGTCCTGAAGGCTAGACGAGGCAGTTGGAAGGGAGAGCTGCCATTGGAGACAGCGGGGAGTGTGGGTAGAAATGGGGCACAGTGGGACAAGCGGGTTGTTTTCTGGAAACACATTGCTAGAGCAGCAGCTGAAGGGAAGACGTGAGCAAGACGGGGTTCTGAGGATGAAAAGGAGGCCCAGTTAGAAGCAGGGTTGCTCTGCCCAAGGAAGAGGGCTGTGCAGTCAGACTGCTCATTCATCTGCTTCCTGTGAAACAGTCGTGATCATAATTCCTAGTAAATAAGCTATAATCAATGGATTGGCTGAGGATTTAATCCTTTTTCTAAAAAACAGTTTCTTAGAGAGTGTAGTTCTAGACTACAACAGTGATCTTCACATATTTAAATGTAGAGTGAACTTAATATACTTTAATCTCTAGGTGATAATTTAATGCTCTCTGAGCTTCCGAGTGCATTTTACTACTCGAGTCTAGGATTCCTGGAGGTGTGCAAGATCACTGCCTCTGGTGCTGCTTGATAATCCTCTAACACGGTGCTTGTGTGAACATGGTGCTTGTGTGAACATGGTGCTTGTGTGAACATGGCGCTTGTGTGAACACGGCGCTTGTGTGGTTGTCCTGCACACCTTGTGCTGCTCATCCAGAAAACCTTTCAAACAAATTCTGCAAGGAGATTGCAGCACACCATGCTCCTTGAAGGAACTAGTGTGTAAAATGGCAAAGGCTGCCATTTCGAAGCTCCAAGCTCCAAGGCTATGCTGCCACCACATAGGACAGATGTGAGACCAATTTCCTTTTTAAAAGAAACCAGCTCTATTGTCCAGAAGCAGCAATAACAGAGAAATTGCATTTACTTTTATCTACAACTTGCATACTGTATAAAGAGGCCTTCGGCCCTGGCATTGTGGGATTGTACCAACAAGAATGGTTCCTGGACTATAGGGTGACCATCTGCTGCTTTTGAAAGATGGGGTGACTCACAGAGGCTGCGAAGACAGTGAGCTTGAGCATGGTCAGCAAGGGCCCCTTACTCACCCTGCTTCTTTCGTATTCTTTCCTCGAGGCAGCAAAGAGCTGAGCATTAGATATGGCGATTCCACAGAAGGGAAGGTACATCTGCATAACCTGGGGGCACAGAAAGCATTAAGAACGTTAGAGCGTCCACCCCAACCCAATGCCCACAGCTCCTGCCTCCGCAGCACTTTCCTTTCAGTCAAATGAACCGGCATGGGGTTGGTAGGGCCACCCTCTCTGCTTCAGGGGCACATTTTTCAGAGTTAGCTCTAAGGCGGTGTAAATCAGTCTTTAGCTGGGGAATTCACATCTCTGAAAACATAAAGTGGGTGGAGCAAAAGATCCCAAGAAGAACGAGGTCTTGCTGTAGGGATTCCAACCATCAGTAGCCTTTAAGATGCCAGCCTACTTGGGCATGGTCTCTTATACTGTAAATGCAGCTGTAAGGCACTCACTCTCTTGTTCCAGCTGCTAGACTCTCTTCCTCTTCCCTGTTCATGCAGAGGACTGTTATCTAGGACTGTGATCTGTAAGTCTCCCCTAAATAAATAACCCTCTATTATTCATAATTCTGAACTAGTGTGGGGTTATTTTATGACTTCTGCCTCCAAGGTCTGATATATCTTATGTTCCACCTTTGAAAAACAAGAAGAGAACTGGAATATGCCCCTGGAATTTAAAATTTGTATTCACATTCATACCTATAAAGGTAGGCAGAACATGAGCGAATCCCTGTGTACTGATATGCCCACAAAAGGAATCTTGGCAAGGCCTGCCAGCTACCAGACTTAATCGTGCCTATTAGGATGGGCCTAGTAGGAGTTTAGGGACTAAAGGCCTAGTACTCTTGTGTAAGAGATATCTGTGTGGATCCACTACCAGGTAGATAAGATTGGACAAGAACACAAACTGCGTGGCTCTGCAGCAACTGTCTGAGGAAATGCTCGGAGCCCCCGAGAGAAAACACCTCCTTTGGGAAGAACTGGAATACCCAGAAATGCCTGACTTAGGGAAAGTCTTTCTCGACAGGAGGTCAAAGTCTGAGGGCTATGCCTATCTCTAGAGCATCTGATTCCAGGCAGATAGATGGATGTTCTAGCAAAAGAATCCTGAACTTTCCACAGCATAAGAGGAATAGGTGATTTTCCTTCTGGGGTTTGTCTAAAGTAAAGAGGAGATGGCATGGTTTGTGTCAATCTTTTTTTCTGTACACCACCCCCATCACTGTGCCCTGTGAAGAGGCACAGAGGCAGGCAGAGCAGTTCTGGCAGTGACCAGTAGGGGCAGTGCATTGCTCACTGTGGAGACCATGCCCACAGGAGCTCACGAGAGGCACCTGTGGGCCACCCAGGTGCCTGGAGCAAAGAGCGATTTGGGGAAGATAAAGGATAAAGCACAAATCCCATTCTTTATCATTTTTACCTTGCTTCTACCACCTAGCTACAGACCTCTGACCTGGGGGAATTTCGAAGCTCTATGGCATTGTTACAGCTATAACCTCATTCTTAAAGAAGCAAGAGAAATAATAGAAGGGGAACCAAGAAGCACAAAACCCAACACGCTTATTTTTCCAATCTCTCAGGATAAATTCCACCAGCGAGTCTTTGAGTTGTATCCCAGAACAAATGCTATTTCTGCTTCTCCTCTTTCTCATTTCTTGCTCTTCCTCCTCATGCTTTAATAAGTTTGCTTGTAAACCTCGTGGTTCACACAAAGCTTCCTGAGCCCCCCAGCACTCCCCGCCTTCTGCCAGAATGGGACCACATTCAACATCAGCTCTACACTGGGCAGGTTTCCTTGTAATTTCCTGTTGGGGGCAGGCATATTTTGTCTGTTTGTTTGTTCTTCCTGCTATGGAGGTGGTGGCTATTATGATGACAGAGAGGAGGATCTATGGGTCACTGTTGTGAGCGCACTGGGTCAGAAGCATAGGTCAACACGTTTGTGCTTTTCTTGAGTCAGAATTTACAGGCAAGTTGTTCCAGTGACTACACCTGCAGAGCGTCCAACTTCCCTTGATGAGCCTGGATAGGGCAAGCACAGGCTTTTTATTCCAATCTTAATTACTAATATGAACTTTCAGACCATATATTACAGATTGCATGTGGGTGTGTGTGTGTATGTTACAGGATGACTACAAAAGATTCAAAAGGCAGGGGTTTTGAGGTGCTTTAAAGAACCCCCCTCTCCCAGAAGCCAAAACTGGGAAACTGATAATGATCTAAGAATCTTTGTATTGATAAGGAACTCTGTGGAAGAAGCCAGAAGCTGCTGCAGCTGCTGGCGGCAGAGTCAGAATTAAGCTGGGCTGATGAAATGACCGGAAATGACGGGCAGGACCAGGTCAGGCAGACTGACGTGTGGCCAGGCTAGGAAGCTGATCAAGAGGTCGGGCAGACCCCAGTTTGAGGGGGCCTTGTTGACTGAGTTAAGCTGAAGCTCTGGTGACAGCTGGGAGTTGTACCCAGATGACAGGGGACTGGGGGCGCTTACCCTTGCAGTGATGGGGTCTACCTCTTTAAGAGGTGCAGGTGAGGGAGGTACACTTCTTCCTTGGTCTGCTATACCTGCTGAGTTCTTGGGCTTGGTTTTGCTGATACAATTTTAATATAACATGGATTCACACATTCTCAATTCACCACAATGAACTTATAGGGTGGCTCTCTTTAACTCCAGAAATAAGTCACGTTACAGTCTCTGATTCATGGATGGTATCAGGCAGATGGTCCCATTCATATCTCCAACCAAATGCAGGGGCATCCTTCATCTTCAAGATGGTGTCAAAGACTGCTTATAAAATGGAGTCTCTCAGGCCAGACACTGTTTTGTACAATATAGACAAACTAAAAAGCCAGTCTTATGTAGTATGGTGTGATGTGTAAGTCACAACCTGACCTCAACAATTATGTATCCAATTCTCCATCACTTATTTTGATTATGTTTGGTGTGTAAGTCTAGCAAACAGGAAGCAGAAGCAGTCTGATGAATTTATGAACTATTCTCTAAAGCCTTTCTTCACTTGGTTTGTGATATCAATTATTGAACTTTTTCTACCAGGCTTTATGTGTAATTAAAACATCTGGAATTTAAAATTTTTTACATTAATTATATTTTACATGTATGAGTGTTTGCCTATCGGTATGTCGATATATCACGTGCAATCTTAATGCCCAGGGAGGTCAAAAGAAAGGTGTCAGATCCCTGTAGTTATAGGTGGTTGTGAGTCATCATATAGGTGCTGGAAATTGAACCCCGGGCCCCCCGGAAGAGCATCCATCGCTCTGCACTGCTGAGCCATCTCTCCGGCCCCTAAGAGAATCTGAGTTTTAAGTCACGGTGTTTTTATCCTTTTTGTGGATTTTCTGTATGAAACTTAACAAGCCACTTAAGTGCTGTAAATCTACTTCCTTATCTGTAAGACACCAAGTTTATGGTAGCTTCTAGTGTTTTGCGGCTCAAATGATTAGAAATATCAGTGAGCTGTAATGTTATGCTTGCTGGAAGTGACACAGAATTCAATGAACACGCTTGTACCTTACTCAGGAAATGTCATTGGTAGTGGAAATTGACAGAGATGCAGCCCTTTCATCAGGGAAGCAGGCATGATGCAGGGTGGTAGGCACGGTGTGCAGGCTTCTCTAAGAACGGCATCTCCTTGACCTTCGCAAGGATGCACTCAACAGTGGCACTTTTTAAAAAGAGCTAAGGTTTGGGAGCTCCCAGCAGGCTATTGGGAGATAATTCTTCCCGGGTCTCTCCTCCTCCCCGCCCCACCCCCTCTCCCGTCAGCACATTTTCCAGAGGCACCGTTCGGTCAAGGATGCTTTGGCAATGAAAGCCCTTCGAAGGTAGAGACACTGTCTCCTCCCTAATAAAAAGCAGAATTATTTGCTATCCAATATAATAAAGATGATTTCTCCCCCTGGACAGAGGTCGATTTGGGGAGCCTCCTGCAATGTGATATGTCCCGAGTGCAGTTATAGTGTGAGGAACCAGCACAAACGCTGGAGCTCGGCTTCTTTCTCTTCCTGTGAGTAATAAACGATTCTCTTCCACTAATCCAGGAGTCTTGCATACCTTGCAGGACCCATGAGACTGTGGCCCACTGACTTGCTAACTTGCAGGTGGACTAGAGTCAGACTTTTTAATGATCACCAAGGTCACCCAGACGGTAGATGGTGGGGCTAAATTTCATTTTTAATTCAGTCACCTTGACCCTGGAAAATCTGCCCTCTTCTCTTCTACAGGGTCTTGCCTCTCAAAGAAATATGCATCTTTCCCATCACGAGTGCATGGCCTGGTTAACTGCAGTATGACTGACGGGTGCTGATAGTAGAAGGGGATTGGATGTTTAAGTGTCAAGAGGGGCTGCAGAAGCGCAGGAGGTTCTGGTAGAGGAGAAGAAAGCGAATTCTAGTGATAACCAGCCCTCAGGTGATCTGCTGAGCTGATAGATTAAAGCCAGTCCCAACCAAGGAATAAATCACATCGGTCAGCATAAGACTGGCTAAAGAGGCCAGGATGGAATCCTATGAAGATAAAGAACCCAGCTTTGTAAGAGCTGACCAGCAGGCCCAGGGTCAACCTCAGGTGATGGTTTAAAGGTTAGCTCACACTTCTCTGGATAGAGGAAGAGGAACTGGGAAAGCAATGAGGGGGCCGCTGGCGAAGCCCTAAGGGGGAGGCACAATGTTGCAGGGGCACAGCACTGGTTGTAAGTCGGGAGCCTGTCAAAACCGAGCCGGTGGGTGAGGAGCCTGTGGTGTAGAAAGTGGGTTGGGCACTGGGAACAAGACTACTTTGTCTCTTCTCCCAGTGCCAGAAAGCTTGAGGACCACCCAAGGGCACATGGCCAATTAGTGGCCAATCTCTCCGTTCACTTCTGTTGCTGTTGAGCCTAATCAACCAAAAATATTAAATTTTCAAGGAATTCTTCCATTTACTGTAAGGTGTGTGTGTGTTTGTGTGTGTGTGTGTGTGTGTGTGTGTGTGTGTGTGTGGTGTGTGTGTGTTGTGTACTCTACTTTCCATAAAACACTTAGATCACTTTGGCAGGATGAGTTCTTCAATCCATGCCACCGTGTTTTAGAAAGTCCCTCCCAATCTAGTTC